CCCCGGCCGGCCGGAGCGCCGGTGGGAGGGCGGCGAGCCCGGCCGCGGCTCCGCTCTCCCCGGCCGGCTGGAGCGCCGGGGGAGGGCGGTGAGCCCGGCCGCGGCCCCGCTCTCCCCAGGTGAGCGCCGCCCCCCTCCAGGTGCCGCCCCAAGCACATGCTTGGAGTGCTGGTGCCTGGAGCCGGCCCTGCTTGTGGTCTTCAGATTGGGTACTTACTTATGCCTGGGCCAGTCCACTAAGGGTTCTAGTTTGCACATTCGTCCGAGGGAGTAATTGGAGGGCGGTGGTGTTGAGCAGCTGTAAGAGAGGGCAGAATTCATCTGGCAGAATCTTTATTACTAGTGATGATGGCCAAAGCAGAAAGGAACAGTTTGACTTTCAGATTCCGGGGGCAGTTAGGAGTTAGAAAAAAGCATCTTTTTTCCTTATAAACTGTACTAATTTGTCAACAAAATCCTGGAGACATGATAAACATGGAAGTCCATGCTGCCATTTATTACAAAGTCACTTTTTAGAGTGAGGCTGCGCTTTAGTGCCGCTGCAAGGACAGATGCGAGTGCATTACAGCTGTGGGAACAGATGGAAATATTAATCCAGTGATCATGTTGCATGAGTAAGTAGAACTGCAGATTGCTTATCCTGAGGTTTTCACTGCCTCTGTTTTGTTCCTTGGTTACTCCAGAGCCAGGTGGACCCTCTTTCACCATTGGCAAAGCTATCTGGTTGCTGTGGGGTCTGGTGTTTAACAACTCCGTGCCAGTGCAGAATCCCAAAGGTACCACTAGCAAGATCATGGTGTCTGTGTGGGCCTTCTTTGCTGTCATCTTCCTGGCCAGTTATACTGCCAACCTGGCCGCCTTCATGATCCAAGAGGAGTACGTGGACCAAGTGTCTGGACTGAGCGACAAAAAGGTAACTGATCCACTCCAAATTTGAAAGCATCTTTCACCATGGCAGGGGCTGCACCCTCTCTAACCCATTCTAATTGGCAACCAATGCATTGATGCAGTGTCTGGGTTAAATACTGCTAAGACTGATCACTGAAAAATAGTTGCACTTTACGTGTTCAAAGCACTGTGCAAAGAACGAATGGGGTAACAGTATTGGATATCATGTTATAAAATCTGTGGGCCAGATCTTCTGCTAGTATAAATTAGTATCGATCTATTGACGTTAGTCCATCCACTGATTTACACCAGTGGAGGGTCTGGTACTGTATTTTAATGATCACTGTTATGAATAGATGCTTAGAAACTCAACACAGAAATGCTTTTCTTTTCTGAACAGTTTTCTATCCCTTGTTTACACACACTGGTTTTTGTTATCTCAGAGTAATCACTTATGCTGGGCGGTACACGTTGGTTTGATCTGATAGGATTGCTCATGTGTGCAGGACAGCGCTCCCTGGTTTGTTAGGGTAGGGTTGTTTATGAGCACTAGGCTGTGCACACTGGTTTATTTTTATTATATGGGTACTCATGAGTATGCGGCTGTAGGTTCTCGTTCCTTAGCCTGGAGTTTGTTATTCAACCAAGGACAGCTCAAACTGCTTTATTGCTGTAGGGTGGCCTCTAAGCATGAGGCTGCAAACCCTTTTGTTATCATATGGTGGCTAGTGGGAACTTGACTGTACACACTGGCTTGTTATTGCAAACCTGGCTTGTTATAGTCAAGGCCCCGTCTATTCCATGACAAGATAGACTCAGTTCTGGGGCCAGGTCCCCTAGTGTAGACAATACTTCTGTGCAGCAGCCTGGAAGTTCTGTAACAGATTCATGTACATTTTTTTAAAACAGCATTTTTAATGGAATGAAATACATCAATGAATAACCCCAATCTGTACAGTAGCCCTCGTGGTGTTCGTTTTGATAATATCTTCACTTTGTTTCATGCTGCCTCCACATTCTCACATTTCAGTGTGCCACAGTTTTTTTGTATTGACAACATGTTACTGCAGGGTAGAAGCAGTCAGGCAGAAAGCTGGAAGTTTTGACAGCTGGGTAAGGGATAATTGGGGCTTTTGACACCAGAGAAAGCCTGGGCATTGTTAGCTGGAAGTTTCTACTTAATGGATCATCACTAAAACAGTTAAGTGTTGCCATTAATTTATCGTTAGTAGGTTTCACCATTAACAACCCATTGAACTGAGTGCACCTCCAAGTCTTATTTCAGGATGCATGCAGACTCAGGAAGACAACTACTCATCTGTTCACACTCTGTGCATATTTTTAAGATATTCTTCACACCCATGAGGAGGTGTGTATAAAATATGAAGTTGATTCTGAGGCAAATTACACAGCTTCAGATTCATGGAGGGCACTAGACCTTGCCCACATTGTTGAGGATGTTATTGTAGGGTTGCTGGAATGAAGTGGGTCTGGGTTCTCTTCCCCCCACTTTGTTTATACATTTATAATTGTTTTGGATATTTTCTACACAACAACCCAATTTATCAGAGCAGAGAAGATAGAACATATTTAGCTAATCAGGGCGTCACACAAACATGGCTTTCAGTGCCGATGGTGCATCAGGGTTAGAATTGCAAAGTTTTGCAACAAAATCTGGAACCAGGTGAAACTGGCCTAGCAACAGTTCAGGGGGTTTCATAGCATCTCAGGCCCAGGCTTTACTCTGCAATGTACCCTGCCAATGCCCAGTGAGAGGGAGGCCAGGAAAGCTCTACTTCAGCCAAAAGCCCTCTGTGTAAATAAGCTAGCACTACATTTTAATAGATTTTCATTCACTTCACACCTGAAGAGGCACAAGCAACCAATGACAGAATTTTCAAGCAGCAATACATATGTCCTTGAGCAGTTATTAAATACCCTAGTCTCTCTGGTTGAAATTCACCCCTGTGCAGAGGGCCCCCCACAAAGTTCATATATCACGTATGCCCCACTTACACTCTCAATACAGGGTTTAAATAGGACTTGAATGCTGCATTGTCCCAGTTGGTTAGACAGAGGGATACTGTGAGGAGACAATAGCTGACAAATCACAGAAGGCCAAGAAGAGAACAAATGTACATCCTTGCAAGGAGTCCAGGGCACCTAGGCTTTCTGGGAGTCTCTTTCCCCAACATGCCAAACCACTGAAATCTTGTCCTTGGCAGTCATTGGGACAGCAAAAACCTCCCAGTCTGTCCCATTTTCTGGAGAGGGACAGGTGCCTCTAGCAAGACATGGGTCAGTGGACAAAATAGCCCAAGCTAATGCTGAGGGCCTGGTCACTGTAAGGGATATTGGCCTTCCTCCCATTCCTCTCTGAGACTTCTTGGATCTGCTAGCAAAAGCCTTTAATAGCATGAAGATGGTAGGTTGAGGATCCCACCACCTTAATGGTGCAGGAGTCCAACATGTCAGATATAGTAAGAAGGAAAAAAAGACTATCACCAGCTGTGGCTTTCTATCATCATTCAAGTTCAAGGCAATTACTGTTGAGGACATTTCCACTGATAGTGTCTCCTTGGATAAGAGGATCTGCTCTAGAAAAGGTGCTGGACCAGGGGTGGGCAAGCTATGGCCCGCGGGCTGGATCGTCAGCCATTTTAAGCCGGCCCTCGAGCTCCCACTGAGGAGCGGGGTCTGGGGCTTGCCCCGCTCCAGCTGGGGAGCAAGGTCGGGGGCCGCTCCCCATGGCTCCCGGAAACTGCGGCATGGCCCTCCTCTGCCTCCTATATGCTCCAATGGCCCCGCTCCAATGGCCCCACTCCAATGGCCCCCCTTGAGCGCTCCAATGGGAGCTGAATGGACGATGCTTGCGGATGGGGCAGTTCTCAGAGCTGCCTTGCCACGCCTCCGCGTAGGAGCTGGAGAAGGGACATGCTGTTGCTTTCGGGAGCCGCTTGAGATAAGTGCCACCTGGAGCCTGCACCTCTGAACCTCTCCCCATGCCCCAACCCCCTGTCCCAGCCCTGATCCTCCTTCCACCCTCCGAACCCCTTGGTCCCAGTCCAGAGCACCCTCCGACACCCCAAACTCCTCATCCCCAGTCCCACCCCAGAGCCTGCACCCCCAGCTGGAGCCCTCACACACACCCCCGCACCTCATTCCCCTGCCCCAGCCCGGAGCCCCCTCACGCACCCTGAACTTCTCATTTCTGGCCCCACCCTGGAGCCTGCACCCCCAACCAGAGCCCTCACCTGCTCCCACACCCCAGCCCCAATTTTGTGAGCATTCATGGCCTGCAATACAATTTCTATTCCCAGATGTGGCCCTTGGGCCAAAAACGTCCCCCCCCCCCCCCGTCGCAAGACTCTCAAGTTTGGCTTCACCAGACCTCTCTCTCCAGTAGCCCCTAATAATATGGATTTAAATGACCCAGTCTTGTAGAGACTGTCTTCTTCAGGACCTCTCCTAACATTTTTCCTCAGAGGCCCTGCTGGTGCTATGCAGGGATCTTACCAAACTTCTAAAGTTCACCCCCCTTTCTCCTGCGCCTGATGCTGATGTGTTCCCTGCTATCTCTGAGGAGAATAAGCTTGACAGTTGTATTCTTTTCCAGCCAGCTGTCCAAAATTGAATACATGGGCTGCTCACTATACTTCATCTGTTAATTCCTCCAAATGATAAGGCTTCCTGTTGATAAAATCATGTGCTGTGTTGTGGTCCCTAAAGTAGATTCAGTTGTAGCCAATTTTGGGGAGGAAAATCCCCTATCCATTGAAGGAAATGTTGGCTCCAAGAATCCCCTAAGCAAATGTGTGGATGGTCTTTTAAAAAGGTCCCAAGAAATCGCTAATTGCCATTTAACCTTTCCATTCACTCGCTCTACTCAGAGCGGGCTATGGGCGACTCGCTGAACTACACTGCTCTGCTGGGAGCTGTCTACACTGCCGTTAACCAGGTGATTGTTACTTTGGTCTGACTACCCGGTAAGCCTTACCCAGGTGTGCACATCCCCACAGTAAAGACTTACTCACATTACTGAATCTTAACTATTTCTGAACTTGCCCTAGTGTGTCTTAGGGTATATCCCATGGTTCTTTGTGCTGAGCCATTCTAGGATTTTTTCCCAGTCAATTGTGTCAATTGCAAGAGAACTTCTCTGTCCCTTAGAGGGGAATTGTGGGAAGGGAATGGAGAACTGTCATCACTCAAGTGATTTAGCCTATGTCCTCACTGCAAGATGGGTGGATTTCTACCTGAGTGAAAGCTTCCACTCTAATTTTAGCCTACAGCCCCAGATGCACCAACTAGCTTGGGTTGAAAGCACCACTAAACTCAGGTGAGATGGTTTTGTGTGTGGATGAGAAAGGGATTAGGGGCAACACCTGAGTAAGAGTCCAAGTTAGCTCATACCCTTAGAGAGGAAATTCTCTGCCCTTCTGATTCGTCCAGCTAGTGGAACCCAGGATGTTGTCCTGGTGATGCGAAGTCCCGCTAGAGGAGCATCATAGCACAAAACACAGTGCAAGCCACCTGAAATGCTTACTCTTCAGGGCTCACCGAGGAGAAGCTGAGGCCAGCTGTGAGACAATAGACTCTCATCATCACATAGAAAGTTCAGTTGATTTCCCGAGTTATGATCAGGTCCTTGGCTCTGGGCACAATTTATTAACAACCTTTTCCCTGCAGCACCCTCCTTCCTGGCTGTTCCTGGGGGATTACACTCGACTGGCCATCCAGCTGCAGGTTGCACATGAACTATGTTCTCTCAGTCTTTGACATAGCCAGGTTGCTAAGGTGGCTGGGCCCTCTGGCCAAACCCCAAAGTCTATCCCTTCCAGGGTATTGTCTCTTCTCCCTGCCACAGCACTCCCTCGGCAGCAGCACTTCTTCAGCCACATCACACCCTTCTTGGGTGTCTTCAGCAGCAACACTATCCCTCCCTGTTACAGCCCTGCTTGCAGGAGTAGGAACAGGCAGCTTTCAGCAACCATCCTCTTTCCTCTCCCAGGACTCCTCTTTTTG